GACTGGGATGGGCCCCAGGGTCCAGGGCCTCTTACCTGCTGCAGCTGGAGCTCGGTGGAGAATCGTCGAGTCACTGCCTGGATGAGGTTGGAGAAGGAGAAGGAGCCGCCACCGTAGCTGCAGGTTGGGGGTGGGGGGGGAATGAACCGTGAGGAGGGCGGGAGTTAACCCCGGGGGACAGACAGGCGCCTCTGTACTCTCCCAGCTGCCCTGTGATGGGCCCGTTTTGCAGATGAGATGAAATGACTCGCCCAAGGAGACTGGAACACAGGGCCCCTACGGTGCCCCCGCTTCTAGGCAGTGCCCCCCTCTCCCAACCCGGCTGTGCTCCCGGCACAGAGCCCCACCCTCAGGGCTCCCCTGCCCGACTTACTCGTTGAAGAGTTTCTTCCAGTTGCTCTGGACAAACTCCCAGGCCAGGGGTTGCCCGATGACGTTGCTGGCGATGCTGCTGATGGTGGAGGTGGCGTCCTGCTTCCGGATGAGGTCAGGGTTTAGGGTGTAGCTCAGGTACCTGTGAGGGCAGGGAGCTGGGTGAGCGACCCCTTCCCAGGGCTGCTTCCAGATGATTCCACAGAGAACCGGGGCCGGGCAAAGGGCCCCGCCCTCCCCCACCGTCTCCTGCATCCGTGGCCATCCCCTCGGCTCAGCAAGGGCTGGAGGCCCCTGGGTCCTGCCTCCCTCTTGTGGATGGGACACTGAGGTCCCTACACAGGGTCATTGGCTAGTCCGGGTGTCATGCCTGACGTGGACCTGGTACCTGACAAATATCTGAGAGTGGATGAAGGAAGGGGGGGGGTCTAGAGATGCGAGGCCTGGGCCAGGGAGGGGCCACTCCTGCCTTTGACACTAAGGGTGGCCCTTCTTTACTGGAGTACAGGAGCTGGCATCTGAGGCACGCAGTGGGAGCCAGGAGCCCTCATCAAAGGCTTGGGGGGTGTCCTAGCTGGTTTGGCTCAGTGGTTAGAGCGTTGGCCCACAGACTGAAGGGTCCCAGGTTCGGTTCTGGCCAAGAGCAGTAGCTCTGTACCTCAGGTGCAGGCTCCATCCCCAGCTCAAGGGCAGGAAGCAACCAACTGATGTGTCTCACAGCGATGTCTCTCTCTCTCTCTCTCTCTCCCTTTCACTCTCTCTGAAAAGCAATGGAAAAAATATCCTCAAAAAAAAAAAAAGAGACTGAGAGGCCGCAGAAGTCGAAAGCACAGGACATGAGCCCAGACCCGGGTTTGAATCTTGGCTCTATCGCTCATTCAGGTTCCCGGACCTTGGGCAAGCTGCCTTGCTTCTCCGAGCCTCAGCGTCTTCATCTGTAAAATGGGAACATCCTGCCCCAGGAGGGAGAGTGCGGAGGCCCCCCTGAGGCTGGCCCTTCCTCTCCCCCGTGGGCCGGGGATCCTGGGAGGGAGGGGAACTCCTCCAGCCCCACCCACGGGTCCTCACCTCTGCAGGATCCAGACCTCCTTGCTGCAGGCCAGGGCCGCTCGGAGCTTGTCAGCTTCATTTACCAGCGTGGCTTTTTGGAACTGGCTCCAGGCGAAATCCCACTCCTCCTCGCCACCCTGGGCGATGGCGTTGCAGTAGACAGTGGACCGCAGGTTGGGGTCGATCCTGGT